TCGAAATATCCAATTCATGACTACGGTGCCGAATTCCTGGACTCTCAGCAACACTTTCACGAACTACTTCGATGGTTTGTGTTATGCGAAGGACGACCAGAGTGTTTAAGATCTCTAATTGATTCAGTCTCCCCTGAATTTTTCAATTAATTTCTTCACAATCGAGGTTAAATCATTATTCCGACGATATTTTCTACGAAAATTGCGAACTGTAGCAACCAAACCCTCATGATTTTTAAAATATCGCTCAACAATGAAAACGCGTTGTTCTTTCGTGTAGCACTCCATTTTTGATAACCCTGAATTGTTGTCAGCTGTCATGCTATCTTTGTTTTTCGTTGACAACACTTTACAGCACAAATAGCGCAAAATTTATATCTTGCGTGAATTTTGGGACACTCGATATATTCAAGAAGGTACAATATTTCGTAACCATGCCATAAATCAAAATGAAGAATGAAAAAAATATTGAAATGTCAGATCTAAAAAATAGTATCCTTAAATCTTAGGCACGCGCAAGAAAATGCTGGAAGGTCAATGGGTACTGCGACCCCTCTTCCCTTCATTTGCGTAACGATTTTTTTTATTTACCTAAATTACACAAAAGGTGTTGCGGCATAAAATAAAAATCTGTGTGAAATTTCTACCGACTTCACTATTTTGATAAATAAATAAGAACACGTCAGAAAAAATATTTCAAGCCGACCTAAAGAAAACCATCTAAAAATAATGAAAGGTATATTGCTTTATTTATTTATCTATTTAATTTCTACGGACGTAAACACATTTAAGTTTTCTGTAAAGCATACAAAATGTATCCAATAAAAAAATATTAAAAACAATCATTAAAACAATTACAGTTAATTAATTTAAAATCTTATAAAAAATAGATAAAAGTACAGAATATAGTTAATTTAATAGAACACATAATTGAGAGATAGGAGCATTACACCGATTGATAAAATAACTGAAACACTGAAATGATAAAAAAATAACATTCTTGAATGTATCAAAGGATTAAGAAACCATTAATTAATTTATTTCCTTTAGCTATATAAACTGATTGCTTGATTTATTGCAAGGTAGAGGTTGGGCAAATAATAATTAATAACAAACTGGATACACGTGACTACAGTGGACGGCTAATTGAGTTGGCATGACAGTATATCATCTGCAGCAATCATCGTTCCAATTTAATTACGAGCTCTGCTACAGGACATTTTGACAATTGAATAACGTATGAGTTAATTAAATGATCAGAAATGCAACGCGCCGCCACATACTATAATCGCTGGTGCTTCCAGTGAATGCAAGAATCTTTCATGAATTAATTATAGCGAATTCTAGTTTAGTTATTTGATCACATATTTTCCTTCAATAACGCTAGTCTATTTAATAAAAAATGTCTGCATCTTATTTCAAATATAAAACAGTGAACAAGATGCCAAGAGATGGAGTGGATAGTTGGTTTCAAGCAACGCATGAATGAATAGATAGCACCTTATATTTCGTATTTCGGTAAAAGTTCTTGTGCGTTTGTCCATGCAGTGGCTATATATACGACCACTGGCCATTGTATCTTATCCTTTTTTCACACTTTCTGGCTCGCTTCCGGCTAAAAACTGTATACCTAGATACTAAACTAACTCCAATTTTTGGAAAAGTAATTTGTTTATGTCTAAAGCACTCTCTACCAATTATCACGCATTATTTAAGCAAAAAACCTGCTACTTCTATAGAAAAATAATACTCCTACCCAACCAAAAGTATAAAATAACAATGTAGACTAGCTATGTATATCATACTTTTAGGTATATCATTATAATGCTTATCTCTTAAGAATGGGTTACCTTCATGCGAAAACTTGAACGCAATAAACTGAAGGAACAACTCACTTGTATTGAAACGCACTATATGCATCGCATTTGAAATACGAATATACGTATACTACGATGCGCCAAAAAAAACACTGTGTTTACTACCGACTCGAAATAGGAAGTTGCGGATTTCGTTTTACAAAGTATTAAATCACTACACTTACAAACGACATGGGGCTAATAAATTATATTCGATTATTAAAATGCAGTCAAAGGGAACTTATTAAATATACCTATCTAAATAGTACGACAAGCAATTAGTTTTTATTTATTCATTGCTTATTATTTTTTTAATGCGTAGTAGTTTAATATAAACAAATTCTTATGCCACGTAATATAAAAATATGTATAATAGAAGTGATGAACAGTTTTACTTTACCTACATTACGCACCCACAAAAATTTTAGGAATTAGTCACCTGAATGGAATTTATAAAATATTCCCTAGAAAATTTTACGGGCTAATTAAAGTATATTTAACTACGTTTGTCAAGATACGTTATCTAATAACTACTTAAGTTAATAATTACCTAGTTAATAATTAGGGTTTATTTACAAAATCCAAATAAGGTCAGCTACCTGTTATAAACATAACCTCACTTAAGGAATCTAAAGATTATAAAATGACCATAAGTCTAAAACCTATCTCAAGTCAATTATGTCCATATTAAAAAATAAAAGCACCAAAATATCGAGATTCTGGTTTAGTTATTTATAGATTAAGGTCAAAAAAGATATATATTTTTGCGAATATATCACAATTTACAGTTGTTAAAATTATGATAAAAAAATGATAGTTTACTTAAATAGAAAAATATTTGTCTATTGAACTTACATCGAGAGAAATAATAAAAAATGGATCAATGATCACTTTTTTAACACAAACTACATTTCATCAAAAATTGCAAATTAACAGCTGTTTTGGAACAGTTTTAATGGTGTGGGGTGTGGATCATTCTGCCATCTAGCAGGCACTAGATATGATATTCCTCAAGAATCATGCAAACATTTTAGCGTTGTCTATAACTATTTTCAAATATTTCTCATCACTTTCAGAAAGCTTTCAGCCTATATCAATTTTTGAAAAAATATTTAATGGTTGATTAAATTTAAATGAGGCTAGAAGCAATTATTAAGAGGCCGAAGCATACAGGGTGTCCCAGAATAACGTGTACAACGGAACAAGGGCGTCGCCAGCCAATGGGCTATGGGAGGGCAAGATGAGAGAGAAGATGGGAGAAATATAAATTATAGGTAGAAATAGGTACTGTGAATTAATTTTTTTTTAAATATTTTTAATAAAACAAGAAAAATATGAATAACTAAAAAAATAAAGATATTCAACGAAAATTATGAAATATATAAAATTGGTGCGTTACATATAGCTTTATAGTCCAATCAATAGGTAGAATAAGAGGTTACAAAATATACCACCTGGAAACAAAAAACATGGATATAGGAAAAAAATTCTAAGAAAGATAATGTTTTTCTGTGGCGCATAAACGGCGAAGTTAACGTAAAAAATTCATAAGTCAAAAAGACGGTTTTTCGCTAATAAAAAAACCTTGAACTCTAGTCAAAAAAAGTTAAATGAGAAAGTTGTAGCTGTAAAAAAATCTTTCGATGGGTATTTTTAAATATATCGATTGTTATATTAGTTTTCGAGATATATCGAAAAAACCGTCAAAAATCGACTTTTTTTGTTTTTTTGCTGTGAATGTAGCACGGCAAGCAAAAGTGCCTTTTTTTCAAATCAAAAAATATTAAAAATTTTTCGTTTTAACGATTTTTCGAAAAAAGGATCATCTCAAAAATCGGCTCTTCTTGCTCGACAAATAGTCGTAGAGAAATGAATCAGGCCTCATTTTTTTTCCTTAAGAGTTGTACTTTCATGGTAAAAAAGAGTGATAACATAATAACATAACATAACATAATATTCATTTCAAGTGTCCAAAGATGATTTTGAAAAAAGTAAAAATTTTTTGGTCGCGTTTTTCTTGTATATCTTTTTCGATTTTCATTTCTCGATAATGTCTATTGCAGGAATCGATTGCTGGCATTTTTACGCGAATAGCCGAGATAATTTTTTTCAAAAAATTCCACAGGGTGCTATTTAAGTGCTACAGCGTCCATTCTTACAGAGATTGAAGTTGAAGACTTAATATTTTCAATAAAAAAAATACTGTGGTTCACTTTTGCCACCTCTGCATTTTTATTTGCTCGAGCTAACTGTAGCAGGCAGCGATTCGATTTCTAGGGGAGAGCAGCTGCCCCCCTGCCCCTTGCAACGGAAGACCACAGATTCATGGACTCAAAATAGGTAGATCTAGGCTAATTCACCTACATCTGAAATTGCCTCAAAGTTGGTGAAAAATTTTTAATTTTCGTTCGTCAAGGAGTTGATCGTTCTCCACAAAACATATAAATCAAGAAGGTCGTTTTCATTTACCCTTGCTTATATAATTTGTAGTTATTTAATCGATGGTTAGTGGTTGTAGATGATTGATAGATGGCGAGAGAATAATGTGCAGCTGATTCTTTGTTTCCCGCACTTATATTTGACTAGGAATCCGTTGTAGTATAATTTAAAAAAAATTAAATATGTTCTTTGCAGGTAATGTGGGTCCGATTTATTGATTGTTAGTCCAGAAAAATTATAGATATCTATACAAGGTGTCCTGAATTGCACATTCCAAACTTCACCTGGCGATAGAACACTTAGAAAAAGCATATGAATATATGTTATAGAATGCTTCACTTTCAAGATACACATAAATTATACTTATTTGAATATTTTTTAAAATGTTTAATGTAGGTCAATAAAACTTGAAAAAATGATTTAACTAATCGTTAGCAAAAATTAGCCGAGTTGATAGATAAATGTATTAACCAGCGGCAGAGATGGTGGAAGATGTAACGCTAGAATATCAACACCACTGAATATTATAAAAATTTGATAAATGTATTAATTTCAGTTGATGTTTCTAATAAAAATGTTGTTTTCCATTCTATTTGGAGTAGTTATTTTTTAAATGTAAAATAAGTCTACAAATTTATTCGGGAAAAAATGTTAAACAATAGCAATATGAATTTTAGTTCAGTTACATTCTGAATGAAACTACCCATTTTCTGTTAATACGTTTATTCAGCTTTTAACAAAAATAATTCAATACAAAATACACAGCTCTGTCGGGGAAATAAATACCTATAATTGCTGCAAAAATTATAAACAAAATATTGGTTCCCATGACGCTAAGTTAAGAGAAACCTGGTTAAGTTCTATATATACAAAAAAATGCCACTTCCCCTTTAGCTGTACTCTCAACACGTAGACTTACAAATAATCTCGTAATATTTAGAGTAAAGAATTAATTTGTCATGACTTCTCACTTCTCCTAAACTTAACTGACCTAGCGATGGCACATACAAAATTTTGCCTCTAATTTTCATTAAATTAATAAGCATAAGGGCTTGTGCAAGCTTAAGATTTTAAACAGCTTTATTGCATGTATCTATAAAAATACTTATGCAAAGCCATTATACAAAGAAAATGGTAAAAAATTAGATTTTTACTTTGTATTGAAATATTTCCAAAAATTAAATATACAAAAACTTTACTCGGAAATAAAATAATGCTGGATGTAGAAAAAATTCAAACGTAAGTCATGAGTAATAAGTGGATGAAAGGAATAAACGAAATAGGTAAAGGTGAATTCAAATGTTATTAAAACGTCCTAAAAGTATATACGGAAGAACTGTTTTAAATATCATCTGACGAGAAACTACTGAAACTTACAAAAAATGATTTGTTATTAATATATATATGATAATTACTTACAAAAAATTAAAGAACTCGATATGATATCATACAATAAAGAAATGCTGAGAATGTACAAAAAGTTAATTCAAGTATCACAATTTTAATAATGAAGTGTTGAAAACACATACATGAAGAAACATTTGTTATTTCATAAAGTTATATATAACCTACCAACATGTGTGGACAATTTATTTCAGTATTTTGCTTTATTTCATAACTAATAGCTAGCTGTTCACTGAAACAATTACAATTCAATATAAAATTACAGTTGGCATTGCAAATTAACAGTTGGTACTATTAATTTTGACAGCTGTAGGACATAATTTTGACAACCAACAGTAATTAGGTTATGTTATATAATTTTATAAATTTACAACTCTAATTGTAAGTAACAAAACTTGAAAATAGTAATGTAGCTGCCACATTTTCACATAAAACTATTTCATGAATAAAAGCAAAAAGTAAGAACTGCAAGCCGCATTTACATCCAATGTTTCTTCATTACAATTATGTACAATACAAAATTGGCCATTCAAACAAAAATATGAATTTTAGGCGATACATACTAATCTATCCTACCAATAACCAATTAAATAACTTGCATAATATATAGGTAATAATATATACAACAAAGATTCAGATTTTTCTTACCCGTACTAGTACTCGGAGAAAACTCCTGTTCCCGAGCACGCCCAAAATTTCCTGCGAAATTTCACTGCCGTATACTCCAAGGGAATCTGCCATCCTTAACTAAATCGCGAATAAATTATTATCAAATATGTACAAAAATAAATAAGGAACTCAAACGGTGATTCTGTTCTTATGGGGAAACGGAAATGCATAATTTGGTCTAAAACTTGGGGTGTCTTTAACAAACGTCAAAATTTGCGACGGCGCAGCTTCTCCTGTGCTTCCTTCAACAGCGCATCGAAAGAATCCTCCACCGCGGGGACAGGGTAGTAAGTGGTTTCATCTCGCATATTGTCTAAAGGTAAGGATTTTACAGTTTAGCCAACGGATCAATAAAAATTAAAAAATAAGAGTTCTTACTTTAATACCTAATTAACTTACCCAGATCGGAATAAGACGTTATACAGAACTGCCTGCGACCACCAAAACTCAAGTCGTACTTGGGATGGTATGGATCATCGTTAGCATGTTCTATCGCCTCGAAGGCATCATACTGATTTGCGAACGTGACAAATCCATAATTGTCTCTGAAAAGAGAACCAATGTTGAGATATATAACCCATATTTCTACGACGCTGTCGAATTTTTAATAGTACAATAGACGCACCGTATCCACCTTCCGCAGATATAAAAGCACTTCAAAATTAAGTTTTTTTTTATATTTACATAAATCTGATGGAGGCTTGCATCAATATCGTTCATTTCAAGTTAGAAAAAAAAGTTTCCGGAATATGCCCGAAAATAGTTTAAATTTTTTTAACTTCAACATCCTGCATCTAAAAAATGAAGCAGTTTTTTGACATTTTATTTGAATTAGCCCGTTTAATTTTTACTGTAGAATTTATTGGTGATATTTGGCCGAATAACAACTAATCACCTTGTCTAACTTTTATCTTACATTTAAGTGACAGCTACTGAAAATATAACATCGTTTTCACAATTTAATTAGCTTCAGTTGTTTTCAAGAAAGACACTCTTCCCATGATATATCAGTCACCCTGTACATAAAAAAGGCCACTATTTTATATAAACTTTTTTCTGAAAATTAATTATGAATTTGAGTAATAATACAGCTGAATTATTCATTTTATAAAAAATTTTCGATATTGTGCAGTCATGTAAGTGAGATATAACCTATAAATTATTTGAGCGTTACTGCTATTCAATTACTTTGTACTATTGTCAAAGAGTAATCCACTAACCCCTACTTATTTGTAGGTGCTATGAAAACCACTTCACTGCGAGCTACATACTCTGTCCAGGAATAATTAATTGGTAATTCTATGGTGGACAAAGCATGTGATCTGAAGAATAGTTGTTTTCCACAAGTTCGTTGATTAAAAATTGTACTAGGACTGTGAATTAATTTTGAGGGATGGCGTAACTTATATCGCATTGGACACTTCTGCAGCTATATTTATGTCAAAGCTCTGTTATTAGACTTTACTTTTTATTATGTGTCATTTTGCAGAAGTGTAAACAACATATTTTTTTTTCAACTCCGAAGATGTTAAATTACGAGCCACCATTTGCAGCACTTTTCCTGTTTAATTCAAAGAAAAGTGCTGCTGAAAGTCAGAGAAGCTGTTGGAAACTTACTGTAAACATACTTCATGAATAAAAACATGTCAGTATTGGTATCGTAGTTTTAGAAGTGGTGATTTCGATACAGTTGACAAAGAATGCCCCAATCAACCGAAAAAGTTCGAAGATCCATGTCAATTGCAAGATGAACTTGCTGAATCATTTACTGTTGATCGAACAACAGTTTCCAAACGTTTAAATGCACTCCATATGATTCAAAAGCAAGGAAATTGGGTGTCATTAAATTGAAACTGAGAGATGTTGTATGCTGATTTTTCACGTGTGAACAATTACTTCAACGGCAAAAAAGAAACGGGATTTTGCATCATAATAATCCTAAGTATAGAAAATCGTCGTAGTTATGCATCAACATTGACAGCAAGGCAGGATATTTATGGTTCGAAGCTCATGGTCTGTATTTGGTGGAACCAACTTGGTGTTGTGTACTATGAGCCGCTTCAACCAAATGAAACCATCACTGGTGAACGCTATAAAACACAATTGATGCGTTTGAGCCATGCATTGAAGGAAAAATGGCCCCAATTCGAGCAAAGGCACGATAAAGTTATTTTTCAACATAACAACGCTTGACCACATGTTTTAGCTCCCGGCACATTCACCAGATATTGCTTCATCGGATTACTACTTGTTCCGATCAATGGAACATGAAGATACTAAAAATTTGATCGACTGATGGATCAAACGATGAATAGTTCTATCGACATGGAATCCATATGCTGCCAGAATTGTTGGGAAAAAGCAGTGGTTAGCGATGGACAATACTTTGAAAAATAATAATGTACACAATTTTTTACAATAAAGCCTTGAATTTACAAAAACATCTCCCAAAATTAATTTACAGTTCTACTAAAATCATCTTGATATTTCCTGGCATTCTCAATCTTGGCAGGAATAAATGATGTCATTCGTAAATTGCTCAATATTCATATGTATTTTTAATTATTTTTTAATAAGTAGTAAAAACTTATTTTTCCATTAATACCATTTTTTTTATCATGTTATTTTACGTATGCAAATAAATTAGGTACTCACTTCGCCCAGCTGAGTTTCGAAAATTGTTTTATGTGACTTCTCTCTTGCCTGTACAATTAATATTTACTGTACTGAAAGCACTCTGGCTGCTGATTATGTGCATATTTTTTTTCCGCTCCGCACTTTATTCAACAATAGACCGTCAACTTTGAAAGCCCATAACTACGCTGTTTATTAACAAATCTTTTTTCAAATTGAAGTTTTTTTATGCTCTTTTAGTACATGTAATAAAATACTAAAAAAAAAAATATATAAAGTGCATATTTAATTTTGCAACTAAGGAAATTTTTTAAATAATTTCTCTTCACTATAAAAATGCATTTTTTTGAGAAAAAAAAAGAAATTCGATAGCTTTCTGTTAATTCTACCAATAAAAAAATTTACGCGACTTCGGGTACCGCTCAGATTTGCACAGATGATTAATTAGTTAATTTGTTTATAAGGCCATAACTCACGAAATAATCCACTTACGGATTTCGGTTTTCGCATAAATTAATTGTCTAGAGAGTTATCCGAAGAAGCCTCTGTGATAACATAAAGATTTATTATTGTTTATTTAAAATTGCACAATTGGCGGTTTTTTGCAAGTAACTTTTGACCGGATAGATATTTTCTGAAGCTCGAGACGTCGTTTTGTAGATCTTTAAAAGACGAACAAAAAAGTATATCTCTGTAGAACCGTCAGAAAAAAAGTTACAGTCGAAAATCGCGAATTTCTAATGTTTGATCAACTTTTAAACAATGTCGCCCGCCTTTTTTAGCATGCGGATACGGTACATCTCTACACTATTTTTACTATCTGCTCACAAAAAATCAGTCTGACCGAAGAATTATGCAGTCATTTTCGGGCTAGATTTCCTAGTCTAGATTAATCGAAAGAAATATTCAAGAAATACGATCGCGGTGCTTCAAAACACATCTATGATATTGTAACAGGTGACAAATTATGGATCTATACATATGAGCCCGAAAGTAAACAGCAGTCCACTGTATGGGTCTTTCAAGATAAGCCAAATCCAACAAATGTTGTTCTAAACAAATGATCGCCTGTTTTTTCAGAAAAACCGAACATATGATAACCGTACCAATAGTGCAACGTCGGACGGTCAATTCTGAATTGTACACATCTATTACTTTGTTAGAAACCAACCACCGCAAACGCATCATTCTCCACCAGTTCAATGCGAACTCTCACACATCGCCTCAGACAAGACTTTTTGAGAACCAAAATCAAATTGACTGTCATCTGCAGTACAGCCCCAATAACGTTTTTTATTCTCGCACATCAAAAATAAATTACAAGGTCAATGTTTTTCAACGCAAAACTGCATATTTTAAAAGTACTTCAATAGGAATGGAAAACGGACTTCGAAAATTGGTTCAAGCACATGTATCGAGTTTCATAAAGAATATTTTGAAAAACAATAAAGGCAACCCTCGTAATTGCATACTGTCTGTCACATTGCATTCGATTTTATCCACAATTTTTATTTTCACGTACGGTGAAAATCGGTTATAACGACATTCAAGGGAGCGTTTGTTTACGGTTGTTATAACCAATAGACGTAATAAGCAATTACCTGCATATATTTTATTTAAAATTTTTATAGAAAAAATGAGAAATTTACAATACAAGACTGTAAGTATGTACATGTAGTGCTATGTGTTTAAAAGATCTCGTGCGCTTCATTTTCAATTAATTGTTTACGAATAAAGACTGCTTTATTTCTACCCTTCCAAATTGTTGAAATTGTAGTGTGACACGCCACATTCTTTTGCTTGCTTGCATTAGTTTCCCAGTTTTTTAATCTCTATATTATACAGGGTGTTTCTAAATAAGTGCGAAATATTTTAGGAGGTGGTTGCCGAAGTTATTTTGTGAAAAAAAGTTCTTATAAACATAAGTCGAAATATGCTTCGTTTCCGAGATACAGTGTTTAAATTTTAATTTTTTATTTATTTTTATTAATCGTTTCAAAAATCGAAATTTGAAAAATGCTTTGGAGGAATAAATGTACCTTTTTTGAGATGATCCGAATATTTCTACTTGCACCTTTAAATAAAAGATTAACAAAACCTACAATAAAATATGTTTTATTTGTTTCCTCAAAAATGGTGCATCCTACGAAAAAAATTGAAGAAACCAATTTCATTCAGAATTAATGGCAGATTTCTAAAAAATTATCAAAGCATTTTTCTAATTTCGAGTCAACATCTTTAAAACTCTGAAATAAGTAATAAAAATAAATAATAAATTAAAATTTAAATACTCTGTATCTCGGAAACGAAGCATATTTCGACCTACTTAAACTTTTTTTCACAAAATAACTTGGCAATCACCCGATAAAATATTTCGCACTTATTTACAAACACCCTGTATGTGATTTTTCTTCTTTATTAAACACTGTTCTCTTCGACATTGTGATAGAAAGTCGTAATTTGTTCCAAACTGATGTTAAAAGCGTGGATGCCGGCGGGACAAGCGGAAGAGCGGTGCATTGATTTTAAGGCCATATTGGTCGTTATAACCGACAGATTCTATGGTAAATGTATATAAAAACGCGTTGCTAAATCGGAAATGTCATAAACGGTGTCTTATTAAACGATATTTTCAATATGGTATTTCTATAGGATTAAATCGGGACTTCCAAATTCCGTCGTTATATCCAATATGTCGTATAAAGCAATGTCGTTATAATTGATTTTCACTGTATTTATTTTCATGTATTTATTAATTTATCTTCATCTTTAATTGCGTTTATTTAAAAAATAGTTAGTTGTAGCAGTATTAAACGAACACACCTGGAAAAAGTATGAAAATCTTAATAATGATAATTACTTAACCCTTTCACTGCGCAATACGTCTGAACGTAGCTACCGCGCCGTGCGCAAAAGTTTATCGCGTGCGAACATATACGTCTGGAGCAGTTAGACCACTTTTAGTTTTACATTATGTTGTGTTAAATTACGATTTACGATCAATTTTATGATTTTATTTTAAATAAAATACACTATATTGACAGCTGTACTAAATAGAAACTGAAAGAGAGATGAACAATCAGTACCAGTACCTCCTTCCATAAAAATATTTGTCATAATCGCTACAAACTCCACCCGCAAAAATTCCCCATACCAATTCAACAACCGAGTCACTATGCGCGTGGTTGCAAATATATACGGTTTGAGCAGCCTGATCCAATTTAACTATTCAAGCGAATTAATCCGTCTGGAGCAGTTTAAGCCCTATAAATTTTTAGCGAATAAATACGTCTGGAGCAGTGAAAGGGTTAAAACCGTAAGCTGATAAAGTTTTTTGTGGGCTAAGACTATCAAGAATGCTTTGGCACCGGGTTTACAAATTTTCTAACAGAAAGTTCATTCATAGCTACACATAAAATAACTTTTATCCAATAATTATCCAAATTGCTTTTTGTTACTCTCAACCTCAAGAGCTGGATGAGCCCTAACAAAAAAAACATACAGGGTACAGCAAAAGTAAGGGAAGGGCAGAATAACTCGGCGGGAGAGCATTTTAGAGAAAAATGTTACATACAAAAGTTTCAGGATTTCTCCCTGGCTATCCTTGAAGATCATTTCAAGGTCAAATGTGATTTTTCAAATGGAACCTTATACTTTTGACCCCAGAAATGAAAAGAGTAGAAAATTTTACTTTCAGATATGACCCCTACCTTTTGACCTTGGGGCCCCCACAAGGTCAAACTAACAAAAATACAGGAACGGCAGAATAATTCGGCGGGAGAGCATTTTAGAGAAAAATGTTAAGTACAAAAGTCAATGTCAAGGTCACCATCTGATAGCCAGGGAGAAATCCTGAAACTTTTGTATTTAACATTTTTCTCTAAAATGCTCTCCCGCCGAGTTATTCTGCCATTCCGGTACTTTTGCTATACCTTGTATAAATATTCGATGACTGCAAGTTCTACCACATCTGAAAGATTGCCCACAATTTCTTGAACACCCTGTATATTTAAACATCCACAAAAATGGATTATTTCTTAATTACTTCAATTTGACCATAATGTAACTTTTAATGATAAAATGGTTGAAACCAAGATACTAAATGAAATGTTGCTGGCCCCTTATCACAAACAATTTCTTTGCTCACTTGTCAACCAAATAAACACATTTCGACAAGTTCTGTAAGTTTGAACAGATGTATAATTGTTTCGTGAAGTTACTATACCACATCTGCGGATACGAGAGGCCTACTGTAGTTGCATTCGACATGCCGTTTCTCTTACGTCGACTTCTTTAAATAATTCAGCTTGAGTATAACACAAAAGTGAATTAAATAACAAGTCTTACAAGTACCCATGGTCCCGGAAATGCAGGCTGATGTTGGTTATCGGACCGAACCGCTCAAATCGCTCTCTTAGTTGTTCTCTGGTGGTATTACTAGAGATACGACCGACGTACACAACACGACGTTCTTCCACTTCCCGGAACCGTTCCTGTTCCCAGTGGGCGTACCTCGGAGGGGTTCGGGACCTGGACCTCGATCTAGAACGTGACCTAAAAATAAATATGAATATTTTTCTCAATGACTAACCGTTAAACACGTGTTTCTCACCTCGAGGTGTAGTAGGAGCTTTTAGAACTCTTAGAACTACTACAGGAGCAATCTGAATTCTTGCGCCTCCTAAAAACAAAAATAACATTAAGTTATAAGAAAAGCACATCATATCCGCCAACGTGTACCTGCTGTAGTGAGAGGATCGTTTACTATTTTTACTTGTGCTGGAGGAAGAGCTGCTGGAGGAGTCTCTCCTTCTCCTATATCTGCTCTCTTTTGTTTGTTGAATAAGGGAGATATTTGTCTGAACTTCAACGGTGTTAGTCTTTATGGGTATTCTATTTTTAGGTAAGTAAACTATCGTCTTGTCCTCGCCATGTTCAGTGCTGGAACTCGTTTTCTTTACGTCAACATCCAAACTATTATTTATAACTTTCGGTATGTTTTCTATCAGGGATGTTATGAGAGAATTGCAATTAAATTTGTCGCTAGCCTTTTCCAAGAGAGGTTTGATCTCTTCTAACTGCTGAACAGGTGTGACGGGATCTAGATTTTTATATATTTTAAATTCGGTGTTGACACCGATGCTCACAAACGTCTTTTTCTCTATATCGGAAGGTATCTGAGTTTCAGTAGGAGGTACCACTGGCAGACTTGGGTTCTGTTTCTTTTCTGATTTGGGACGTGTGTTTAACACCTCCATGGCCATCCTCATCAATTTCTCTTGATGCTTCAAAATTCTCGTGTTTTCGTCTTCTGGTACGGGGGAACTGCAAGAACTGCTGCTCGCCGAATTATTTTGAGAACCTTGGAGTTTTATCTTGCCTTCCCTTCGTTTTTTGTACTCCTCGATATCTAATTTCTTCTTTTGGCACATATCGTTACCGTGTATAGTGTTCACCTAAAATATTAGTAAAAATAAACAATATTTGAGACCAACGTTAAATTCCCGGGGACAACAGCGTACCTTTAACAGAGAAACCATTAATTTTCCATCGGCATTTTTAACCATTGGCTGTTTCATCATTATAGCACGTTCATCGTCTTCTATAGTAGTGAAAGTCTGTTCTCTTTTAGGCTGTTCGTGGTAAGGCTTGGAGCAATAATCATGGTCTAAACTAATGCTATTTACTGTTTCTACCTTTAGTGACTTATTTGGAATGACTTGGATAGTGTTTTCCTGCACCTTCGGACCTCCGCGTTTTTTATTAGGAATCGGTGGTATCACGGCTATCGTTTTACGTTTTCTGGACTCTTTAATACGAGAAATGAGATCTTGAGGTAATTCGTTGAGTACCTTTCTGTTCTGGACATGCACAGATTCTGTTGAAGAGGTAGTCGAATCTTGGACTGGGTATAAAGTATTAATCGTATTATGAGAAACAGTTTCTTGTGACCGATTTGTCTGATTCTTGCGATTTTCAAGTGAGGGTGTTACGGTTTGATGTGTTATTGGTGTCACCTCTATGGGTGTTTTGTCTTCAGTTTTTATGGGGTGGTGTGGTATATCTTTAATTTGTTTGAATGTGGCTACAAAATGATAAATTACAATTAAATAATTTATAACAAATATTTTCATTTCTTTTAATTTCAGTTGCATAAATTACTATCAGGAACTGTTTATATTCTTGTATTCTAGTTTTGTTGCATAATGATAAAAAAAGACCATAGGTATTTTTTATTTACCAATCAGAAATCTGCATTAAATTTTAAGTTCTTATCTTTCATTTCATGCATATGAATGGAGAAATTGATATAAAAAAGTTTAATCTTGAGTTCTCTTTTATCATAAATAATTATTTGATAAAAAAATTCAGAGAATGTGGTTACTTGAATTACTTAACAATGAACAAAATTTGGATATCTTTCACAAAAGGCAAAATTTGTTAACAAATCTTACCAATAAGTATTATATTTGTTAAAAAAAATAATTTATTATATATTTCCGATTTATGGAATGAAAAAGTAAATTTGTACTATCAGCAATGATTTCAAGGATATAATTTCTGTGTAATGCATTTATAATAAAATAAGCAATATAATGTCTTAGGATTTGGCCTGGATATTCAGACAAACTTTTATGGGATAACAGAGGGTGTTACAACCTGCTAAACAATAGACCCTCATAAAATTAATGGCACTTTAAGCAGTTAGGTACACCCCAAGAGGGGTACAGAGACAAATAATTCAAATAAAACATTAAAAGGCTATTCCCATCCAAATTGTAAGGTAGTAATTTATTGGTATTTATATTAATTCCTTTAATGGTAGATATTTTTCTATTTAATGTGTAATAGCATATTATTAGAACTTCCTTTTTAAGGAATAATAATAGCAAGTTAATGAAAAATAAACAAAAATATTTGGATTTTTGAATTAAATTAACATTAACAATCGATATTATAGCTATTAAACTTGAAAACAGATAAAGCACATAACTGTCAAATACTGTTTTCTAAGAATTTACCACAGTATTTTATTAGGATTACAGTATTCCCAGAAAGAAGCCTATCAGGTAAATTTTTGGTAAAGTAGCTGGACTCCTTGAACAATCTCTACATCAAATAAATAAATGTTGGAATGCATTGTTCATACCTACTTGGTACTTGGCAAAAAAATACTTTTTACACATTTTCATACAAAGTTAGTTTATAAATTTTATTTAACTCACCATTTATGTCTTCTGCAGCAACCAGTTCCGTCTTGGCTTCATTTTTTATAAAAATAGTGGGTTCAGATTTTACCTTTTCTACATCAACTTTTACTTCCTCATCTAATTTTTCGATTTTGGTTATATTTGATAAACATATACCATCTTGTTTTAAGAAGGCGTCGTCACTTTTTTCTTTTTTAATAACAATACGTCCACTACTAGTAGTCAAATTAACATTATCTTCCATGAAAACTGATGGTAAATCTGGCATTTCTGTTGCCTCAAACTGCTCGAGTAAACTATAAAGGTCACAAGCCTCGAGGACTGGCGTATCCTGAATTAAGGAGTGTGTTCCTTCTTCTTCTTCTTCTTCTGGGTCACTGTTATCTTCGCCATCATTATTTACGATATATTTTTGAGCTTTTAGGTCAATTTTTTTAACTCCCGCTCTAGGTTTTCTCTCTGCGATATTAATTTGTTCGGATATTAGTTGAGGTTTGGGCTCTTCCTCCGTTAAGTATTTTGTTAAATCAAATGTGCTACTTGTTGATATATTAAAAGGATCTCCCATATGTGGGTGTTCTTGTTGAATGAGACTATCATTGTTTTCGTGTAATGGATGCATAAAATTATCCTCAATAGGCAACATGCTAACCGGCTAAAAATTGTAAAAGGATAAATATAACTCTTTTATTTGACACCACCCCTTGAAGTAATGATATAAATATCAAATTTGCTTACATCGATGCTAATAAAGTCCTGTAATTCATTCATCAACCTATGTAAATCTACCGTTGGAGGGGAATCAATAATTTTGTTCATCGACTCACGAGAATTATCGCTCAATTCAGGGATTAAAGCCAAGTCACCGTTTATCCTTAAAAAATGAAACATAAGCATATTAAATATAAAACACACAGGAGATGCTACTTACTCTTTTTCATTTTCCATTTCCCATGCATACATATCACTCACAGAAAGACTTTGTATAGAATCCATATTATTAGTAGAATCATTAGTGTAATTGTACTGAAAATTATAAATTAATTAGGTACTTATAAAATATATTAAAGTGAAAAGCTTACTGAGTATTGATGAGAGTTTAAACTGGAGAACTGCTCCTTCTCCAAACACATTTGTAGCTCCATAATGGGTGGTTATAGCATTCACAAATCAAAACTATTCATAATAATCAAGATTATGTCCACAAAAAACACTGCTGCACTGTAGATCAAAACTGCACTTAATCCGAGGAATGTAGGGAATTCTTAGAACAACAATTTACATAAAGAGATGCAACATGCCTTTTAGGTTATAAAATGGAAAGTAACACAACTTCAAATTTTTTACATTTCATACACCAAAAATATTGTTGAACTATAGATCTCACTTCAATACACCATAAATACACCACATCCAATAGTTATCTGATATATTTATTCAATTTTTTTACTTCATAGGAACCACCTTGAGTTTTTAGGTTATAAGGGGAAAGTATACATATTTTTCCAAATTACTAACAAGTTACAAAAGAAATGGTGGCGATTTCAACTGGGTACGATAGCTGGACAATCAAAATTTTGTTTTGATTTATTCTTCGTTCATTAGCAACCCTCCTTTGCCGAAGATTTGTTTTCAAACTAAAAATTGTCACACGTGAATCAACTACCACACCACACCACACCGCCACCCAGCATTTACTTGTAAATTACATTCTAATTGCCATGCGCCGACCGGCTTCCAATTCTGATTGAACTTTTACCGGCATGTTGTCTGTTGTCTGATATCTGTCAAGAATTGGATGGAAGGGGCGAGCAGGATTCTGGGTTACAAATTTCGGCAATAATTTAAAAGATGGCACTAGCAGTTTGATAACTTAAAAAAGGAGATCGCTGTAGAATTATATTATTAAATCAGTGTATCACTAGATGGATGTACCCAGTTGTATTAAAAAATTATTCATTTAAAAATAAAATACATACAGGGTTTCTTGTACATACGAGCTTTCAGAGTACTCTAAACATTTATGGGAAATTTTTTTAAGTACAAAATAAAAGGCTAGTTACCTCCTTCTCGATGGAAAATTTTGTACATTACGAACCTTCTAAAAGTTGCGATTATATGAATGTAGAACTGAATAGACAGTTTTTCTGATTGTTATTTGTTAAAGGAAATAATATATAAGACTAGTCGGTACCTATAGGTACCTATAGAGAGATAATAATTTCCGAAGATTATCTTCTATGTAATTCTAGTGGACCGTAATGCATTTCTAATGTAATTGGATTAATTGTTAATAAATATTTAATTATTAATTAATCGTTTTTCTAAGAAATGGTAGTAAATTGAATCATAAATTATTAGATTATATATGAATATAATTCTTCCTCATTTAAATGTGGTAATAATAAAGATCAATAAATAAATGTAAAAGTACCTATATTCATGGGCGTTGCCAGGCGGGCAGGGAGGGGTCGCGACTCGCCCCTAATTGTTGCTGCATGCTGCAAGTTTCAAAAAGTGTTTAGGTTTTGAAATTTTATATCGGTAGATCGCTGATTGCGTGACCTTTTTTTTTAGCATGAAAAAGTATTTAGGTTTTGAAGTGCGTGTTTTTTTAGAGGCTTCCATAGAGCTTGCAGCCCTGGGTCCCACCCTTAGCAAAAATCCTAGCTACGCCCATGCCTATATTTGAAATAATTAAATTAGCGACAAGTATTAATTTTTATTCAAGGGAACATGGAAGTCAACATTTTCACTAGCAGTCGCTGAAGTCTGCAACTACTTTTAATATGAATTAATTAGTAGTCATTGAAGCTCCGAATTATTTGAAACTGAACTGATCGACTTAAAATTTGGCAGATAGTTAGAGAAAAGATCAATGAAGATTAGTGGCATAGCGCTGGAAATCGATAGAGAATCAAATTTTGTGCAAAAAATATATAAATAAAAAGAATTTTTTCGAAAAATCAATAGTTTTTTTAGTTATTCACGATCGAAAACTTGGATTTTTGAGTGAAAAAAACACTTTTTCAATGTATTTTTCGGAAAAAACTCAAAAACTACGCATTTTATTTAAAAAAGTGTAATGAACAAAAATGTAGCTTATTTTTTTAAAAAGTGTTGTACGTCCTATACAAAACGAAATATGGTTAGTGGAAGGGGACTCGTTTTGGGGGAATACTCGAATCGATGTATTCAACGTCGAATAATGGAAAAAGGATTAATTTTACGTGTATAACGCTCCGGGAGTTTTTTGTAGTACTCAAAAAGACCTTCAAAATTAGTATAAAAATTAATTAGAGCAAAAATGAAGGAGTTAACATCAACAACAGACGGGTTGCTCATATTTTTTAAGGAAAAATGAGCAGTAAACGCTGTACCATTTCCATCAGAATTAAAATTAATCGTAGACCCTTTACAATTAGTTTTGTTTTAGTGTTTTTCATACGATCCTGAAGTTACACCGGTTTAGAATGCGTATTTTTTTAATAACGTACGGTAAAAGTTGAAAACGTATTTTTCATTATTAAAAAAAATTGCCTTATTTATATAATATCTCTGAAGCTATAAAAAATACGTAAAAAATGATAGACCACAAAAATGTAGCTTTTTTCAACAAATATTTTGCTATTTTTATTCCTATAGCATAAAAAATAAAGGAGATATCGCCGCTTGAAGTATCATTTTAGTGAAAAAACGACCTGTCTCGAGCCCTTCGATCCTTTCCCTTTAAAAGACGAAATACTTAAAAGGTTTTATATGCAAACGATCTTACAGCTCTTGAAATTATCTCTAAACTGCTTTTTTGTAGGATACTGTAGCTTCAAAATTAACCGAGTTATGGTAAAAAAAACAATGACATTTTTTCGGAGCAAAATAGGCTTTCTCATTTTTATATATTATATGTTATATAACACTTTTTTTACGATTGATTATATTTAAAAATCGATTATAATAAAAATATTTTACATTAATATTGGTAAAAGGGTAGTTTATAAAAGTTGAAAATGGCAAAAGTAAAATATTCTTTCATAAACAATATAAGGGAATTTTTATTTTAAATTATTGCACAATTATAGCATTCCAAGATTTAAAACGTAATTTTTTATCATTTTTTTAGCACAGACGTGATTTATAAGGGTTGAAAAGTGTTATGAGATAAGTACAAATTCTTTCATAAGTAATGAGGAATTTTTTATTTTAAATAATTGCACCGTTAAAGCATTCCAAGCTTTTAAGTAAAGTAATTTTTTATCATTTTTGTCAATCCACCTTTGTGGTTTTTAGGGGTTGAAAGGAAAAAAATCTTTTATTAGCTATAAGGTAACTTTTATTTTAAATAATTGCACGATTTAATCATCCCAAATCTTTAAAAAGTAATTTTTTATCATTATTTTTGCATAGGAGTAGTTTTTAAGGGTTAAATAAAGGGTCGAAAAGATCAAATATATCATAAAACACGTTCGAGAACATGGAACATTATTTAATCTTTGTGCTTAAACAAGATTTTTTTCAATAAAATGCTTAAAACCTAATTTTTTAAATTTTTTTGAATTAGGGGTAAATAAACAAAAAGCGTCAATCGAGCTTATGTCACTTTTGAACTTGAGCCTAAGATGAGCCTTATTCTAAATTTTCATGCAAATTCATGCAGTTTCAAAGAATTCGGAGGTTATAGCTAATTTTCAGCTTCAATAAATGACTGTACTAAATAGACAACTAAATAAGTAATCATCAATTTAAATGTGTTTTTCAAAAATAATCTACAGCATTTACCTAGTATCTGTAAATCTACCCAAAGGTTATTTATTGTAACTCAAAACAACTAAATTTTGTCAAGGTCTACTTGATTTTTTCAATAAAAAAATTACGCATCAAGATCTAACACGTTTTTCCGGAGTTTCATCCGTTCTTATGTTTCGTTTGCATCCCTTGGGAGATATACAGTTGATTTTAGGCGACTCTCCTTCAAAATTTCCGAAACAAAGAGGGAGGCCATCCACGGCGAGGGTCATCCTGATGGGGTCTCGACGTTCCGCGGCATATCAACTCGTCGCGCCGGTCGTTTAGTCAAGGTAGGATCTTCCCCACCGTTGAAGGCGGTTTCTGGCTAAAAATTCGGAATTGCTTCACAATAACACGCGAATCACTCAAAGGTGAGCAAATGCTAAAAAGTTCCATGTGAGTGTACTGTGAGTGATCTCGTATTGGAGATTTTATTGTTGTGTGTTAAAGGTGAGTTCTTATAATGCCTCATACTTGCATGAATGTTAAATAAAGTGTAATTAGTTCTTATAACAAAATATTTTTGTAATTTCAAAAAATAAATGTTCTACTTCTATAGAAATGATGAATTGAAAATTCCCTGGATGTACAAGGAAGGTGAGTCAAAGGGAAATTTTCACACGAAAAATAATGTAATACAAATTTAACAGAACGGAAGACTTTATTTGATTTAACCACTTATATCAGTTTCCTTTATATCAATTCTTCGTAAGAACCAAGAAACATTTTTGTATTCTATCACTTTCCTCTTTGTTGCACTTTTAAATTCCGTTTTTTGATATGTGTTATAAGTTGCAATAAAACCAGTAAATATAAAAACATATACAGGATATTTCAAAACTATGACGCTTTCTTGTATAAAAATAAAATGAAAAGTTTATGTAAACATAGGGCCCATGTTTACATAAACTTTTCATCAGTATGGTATAGTAAATATGGAAATCCTGCCTTACCGAGATGTATCTCGGCGTTGAATATTGTGAAAAAAACAAAAAAAATATATTAGACCGAACTGATTTCGAATTAATTATTACACTGACCCTTTGCGTTTGCCATGATCTTTAACTGTAATCTGGGCGAATCAGGTTTTAAGAGGTGATAATTATAATACTATTTTTTAGGTTTTAAATTTAAATTTTGTTAGATCACAAATATATTAGGATAGGATACAAAATGAGAAGAAATTTCAAAGTAAATATATCGAGGTAAATGTAAATATATTTGGCTTTTTCGAAATTTTCTTTTCTACTTAAAAATATTATAACAAGTACCTTTTGATTAAATATTCAATTAACTTAAATCAAAATTAAAAAGAATACCAGTTAAAATCTACACGTACATTATAATTTTTAAGGTCGGCAAAATGTTTCATACTTAACAAAGCCAACATTTTCAATATGAATTTAATATGTGCCGATTCCTCAAAGAAGAACCAACTTTCTTAGAAATAGACCCCTTTTAACTGAAACTAAACAAATCTACGTTGGAATTTCGTACAATTATTACTAACTGCACCTTCGATTAAAAATCATAAAAATTCTAAAAGTCTAAAGATTTAACGAACCTTATGATAAGCAAAACTTATTGTAATTGTTTTATTTCTAATTTTTCCAAAGTACTATAAACCATTATAATAGATAATTAAATAATGTTACAAAAATGTTCCCCTGTTCCAAATCGAAAACATGAAATATTTAGGAGAGACAAAACACATTAATTTTTTCCTTAATAAAATGTACCTACTTTGAATATAAACGAAACAGGAATTGAACTTGAAAAGAAGTTATGTTTTCTATATTTGTAAGTACCTATAAAAATTAAAAAATTGAAAATTCAAATTCAAATTATAATATTGATTATGATTTATTTAATAATATAAAAAATAAACGACTTTATTCATATGAAATCAGAATCAGATGGACAGGTCTATTTTGAGATAATATGTTGTTCCTACACTTATCTCCGTTTATAAAAATTTAATGTTTAACTTTTTGAAAAGTCATAAATAGTGTCGATACAGTTATTTAAACCCTTTATGGCTTTAGAACGTTCTTTTTTTTATAAATTCTGTTTGTTATCAATTACAGATCTAAAATTTCCGGGAAAATTAGGCGTCTGAAATATTTTTTGCAGAAATATTCGATAAAAACTAAACATTCGAAATAAAAAAACTTTTTGTTAAAATCCGTCATATAGTCGCTATAAATAATATATTATTATTATATAAAACAAACCTTTAAAAAGCATTTTAATAAAAAAAATCATCAAACTATTTCCGCTTTTAGAAGAAGCCAATTTTGTTTAAAAACTTAAATGAAATATTTTTTTAGTTATAAGGAACTAAATTTTTATTTCTTTTCATGAGCAATATAGATTGGTTTCTTTTTGTTGTTTTAAATAAATTATATTTACTTTTTGTTAAGTTGTGCTTAAGCTTATATATAATATGAGGTTATTCCAGCAAAATATATCTGGAAAAATGTTATAAGGCTGGTGTTTTATAGAGGAGAAATCCCACTTTTAGTAAGATGATGAAGAACAAGTATATACTCCATGAAGTTCCTCTAATTTTTCGCATTGAAAGATCACGGAGATCATGTAAACATTAGGAAATGTACATTTCCTGTTTTGTCCAGCAAATTTGTAAAAATACTCAAAAATTGTGATTAATGCATGTGTCATGTGTTAATAGTTTCCTAAAATTATTCTGCGAGGTGCGAATATGTTTACAGTATCGTACACGATTTTCTGTATGTTCAAAAGGACTGCAAAATTCAGCGAACGGTTTTTCTTTCCTTATTTTGATTGTATTGTCAGTTGTTTTATACTTGATAGAAAATTGCGGATATAAACTTTTCCCTTAATAATAAATAATAATAGGTATTTATTGAATTGATTTTAGTTGAAGTTTCCTCAATTTTCCATTTTTTACAATTTTCCCTTTTTTAACGGAAAAAGCATAGTTTTTCCCAATTTTTCCGAATTGACAAATCTTTATTATTAATAATAAATGAACCAAATTAAAAAAAATACTTAACATAAAATGTTATGGCAATATTTTACTTTAAAATATTATCAAAAAAATGTCTTATTTTTATGATTAGGCATATTTTACTCGTAGTCCATCTTTTATTTTTATTCGAACACACGGTATTAATTGAACAAACATAAAATTCAGATGGTCAAAATAAAAAAGGATTGTGAAGAATAGTCGCTAGAACGCTTCGTTTGAGAATAAAACTAATATTTTCTCAAATATATCTATAAGATGATTGGAGTTTGGATAGCCATGAAACTTAGACTAATAATTTATCTAATACCTAATAGGTATATCTATTACTTAATGACATAAGGAGTCATTAAAACTCAGGTATGCAGAAATTAATTATTCCTGAAGCGTTCTGGGCACATATTACTTCTCAAATGCATGTCAAACCTTGACAAAAGTTTATCATTTACATTTTGTAAATGTGACCATTGCCTAGTCAACAGCTGCATATAATAATCTATATTTAAAATATTTTTATTCACCTTGAAATTTAGAGACTGAACCTTTGACCAAAGCATAGTTCTTTTTTTTAATTTGTAATCCAGCAGTATTAGGTAACTGAATTTTTTGTTTTACACTTTTTCAGAGGCACCTTAATTACATATTGATGAAATGTGAGCGGTCTTCGCTACCGCGAACGTAAAAACAATAATTGTTAATAATTATACTTTGTCAATTGAAGTGCTAAGGACAATTTTTTTTTGTTTATTAATCGATATAGGTGAGAAGTTACGCAATTTTTTAACCTAGAAATAGCTGCGTCACATTGTCCATCGACTGATACATTACATTATTTATTAGTCACTGTCATTACGCGCGATTTGTAACTATTGATCTGAGGCAACCGAAGGAAGAGAAGAAATATATAGGGCGTTCCAAAAAAGTTACATTAAAAAATGTAGGTATTGTTCAAAACCTTTTGTACGGATCAGTTTGGTCAAATATATTCGATAAATATTTGAATGATGTTAAATAAGATCAAGAGTTAATAGTTTAATAAATGTATTTTATATTTAGGTAATATCTAACAACATACTAAGAAATATTCTAATTAAACCAAACCAAATTATTATATTTTATTCGCCATAGACGAAATTTATTTTTTGGCAGTTAAATAGGTCCCATAACATTTTTAGAACTGATTTTGCCACTGTTTTTAAAGTAACGGGTAACAACTATGAAACTGCTAACTCACAGAAATGTAAATGTTCCTTTTTAAGTGGATAACAATAGATTTGTTTCTGCAACAGTGTCAAACTGTTTTCAAATTATCAGATATACTCGGTCACTTAAGTTCTTTCAGCGGGTCTAGGGTGACGAATCAGTTGGTCAAATTCTCTGATGGTTTCAAATCAGCCCTCATCTGCTGCAGGAACAGACCTATTATATCTCGTTGCTTTTCTAGCATCAATTTGATGCCTTCCAGTTAAAGCTCAAACTGTTTATAGCTCTGTATTTGTAAATATCTTAACTTCCATTTGTTACTTTAAAATCTAATGTTTTAATTTTACAATAGCACGGTCAACGCCGTCTTGAGTGTAAACAAATTTCCAAGCGTATAACAATTTGAAAATTTTTTATGAAAATTAATTCGCTCGTACAAATCAGAAAATGTTAATAGCAAAAACGTTGTCAAACCAATAATAAAATAGAAATAATGTATCTGTGACATTTATTTCGATTTTAATTATTGTTTGGATAAAATATCTTTTCTATAAAATTCATAAAAAAGTTAGAAATCCTTTAATTTACATGCTTTATTCAAAATTGTTTTTATAGGGCGTTCATAAATAAATACAAGCTAGACCAGTAATTTTGTATGGAACATTAATTTTATTTCCTTCATGTTGGCAACTAAATTTCGGTAAAATCCCGGCTGCGATTGGTGTAATTTTTCACGAGGTAGATACTATTCAACCAATCAGCGACCGCATTATCTTCGTCGACGCGATGGTTTGTCATTGTTCATTGTAAACGAATCATTAACATTGGCGACGCCAACATTTAGGGAATTTTCATTGCCATTACCAATGTTGGATCGCCTAAGCTCAGCGGTCACGTGACTTGTAAACATTTATGAAAGCTCTGTACTGTTGCCGATGACTGTCACCGAAAAAATGACGTTAGAAGGTGGTTGTTACAAATAAATGGTAATTTTACCACTTGAAAGTAATTTTTGCTACATTTTGGTAACATGTTTTTCGTTGAATGTGTCTGTTAATTTAATGTGTTCTCCTGTGGTATATATTATAGTTGCAATTAAAGTCAACAATGTGGTACTAACTTTAAAGTCACATTACAACCATCCAGTTGAATCACAAATACTGATATTTTTATCGGAAAATTACTTTAAACGCAATTTTCAAGTTAAAGGGGTAGTTTGTGTGATATTTACTTCATA